AATTACAGGCCTCTCTCATCTTTTTAAGTGGGAGAACCTGCACAATTGGTGGCTGACTAAATACTTTTTTGCCCCACTATATACCCTGGCACCACAAAATGCAGTTTCCACACCTGACTGAAGGAACACGAGAATCATTGCAAACTAGGACAGCCTGAAAAATCATCAGTGCTATAATGATCATAAAGTTCAAGGATTCACAAGTGCTGTCAACAATATCAAACTATTACATACACCTGCACAGAGAGGCTATTGAGATCCACAAACATCCCAACAACTTCAAAAAGAAATAAGAAAGTCTGAAGGTAATCAAAACCTGATTATATGCTTTGCGCCACACCAATATACTCCTCAAAGCAGGACCAAACAGGAATCAGCTCCCAAAAATGGGCAAATCAGAAACTTGCTTGGCAAGGACCCAGTCAGGACTCAGCTACTCAGACTAACCAACCAGAACCCAGCACAAACCAAGAATCAATTAGGAACTGGTACCCCCAAAATGATCAATGAGGCTCGGGCATAATCAAAGAACCAGTCAGAGACCAGCCCTCACCAACCTGAACCAATCAGAAACCAGCTTGGCTAAAGGCCAATCTGAAGTCAGGACACCTGGTTATAAAGACAGCCCAGTCTCTGCTCAGTTTGCCTCTGAAGATGCCAGCCAGACTTGCCAGTGAAATGTCAAGAAATGTGTTCTCCAGCCCACAATCACTCAACCCTGAAGCCCAGCACTGCCCCCAAAATACTTTATGTTTATTTCTACCTGCAGAATTATGTCTGGAGATCTCACAAAAGGGAGTATAATGAATGACATCCAGAAATATTTCCCTCCATCGTGGCGGTAGCTTCTACTGGTTCTGGACTGAACAATACTGGCACCTAGAATTACATTGCTATACAATTAAATATCATTGATCTGTTTATTGTATATTATTGTATATTGTTTGTCAGCAAAGAGAATCCAGAAAATATAACCTCTGTCACAATTTATGTGCAACAAACAATTAGCAAAGACAGTGGCTATGAATATTTTCTGGTAATTCTTTAGTCCTTTAGCGGAAAGCTGGAAACTTTTCTAACAATTTAGAACTATGTACAGTTGCACAGTTACATAGTGAACCTCTTACAAACTTGCATATTAAAATGAGCAAACAAAATGCTTTTGAAGACTTCAGATATTGTAGTTGATACTGAAGAGATTTACTTTAATTTAACAATTGAACTACGTATCATAGTTTATACTGATTAATGCTGTCCTATATATGAATAGCAAAGATTTCCAAAATCTAGTTATTTAGCTTGGAGAGTAACAGCTGCTGCAAATACCTGCTGATTTGAGTGCATAATCTGGCATCTGAACATCATCTTCATCCAACTTTTCCTTTAATTTTTTAAGCGTTTTTTCAATAGTCTGTCATGGATAAAAGGTAAAATTAAAATTCAGCCATTATTACATCTGTAAAGTCAGGAATATTTAGAAAGTGCCAGAAATGTTCAAAGAAGAAATTTGAACTCTGACCGCAATTTTCCAGAAATGTGGCACCATATGAATCATTTATGATGTGGATTGCTACTCTGCAAGGGGCACAGGTAGCAAAAAGCTAGCATACAAACACAGAACAGGGAAGTCCGTGCATCTGGCTGTGGCACTGAATCATGTCTCCAGTGCTGCTTGACTTCATTGTGCTGTTGCCAGTTAAGCAGGCTCAAATAGGAACACGAACTGAAAGAACATGAACTAGATTGTTAGTGGCCCAAGATGAAAGCCATATTGGTTTGGTAGAAATATGATTTCTGTCAATAAAATCTTATGAAGATCTCTTACCCATTTTGTAATGCCTTTGCTCGTATATCCTTTCAGTATTTCACTAACTGTGTCATAGGCAATATCCTTCATGCTCAATTTCAGACCCTGAAGTTGTGTTTGCAGCATATGTACTTCCTCCTTCAGAGATGGGATTTCTAGTGCCTTTTTTTCCAACATGTGATTAGCTTTCCTAAGAAAAAAGATTTTTCTAAAGAGATTTTTTAAAAATTGACTTCTTCAATTTTGCTTTTATTTTTTAAAAAGATTCTATGGGCTGGCTAGGATTGCTAAGATATGGATTGGGGAATAGGTGATGTTGCAGACTGTCTTCCAGACCTGAATGGGAAGGGGAAGGAACAGTGAAAGGAACTTAGGTGTTTTTTTTTTTCCCCTCATACGGCTTTAAGAATAGCTATAAGGATCTTCTACTGTCAACTCAGCCAGTGGGAAACAGGCCAGTGATACACAGAAGGCATCCACAATAACTACCAGAAGAGCACTGTTATCCTGCAGGATGGGGCAGAAGAGGGGAAAAAATACTTTAATCAGAGACAGTGACTTAACCATTGTTACAATGATTTTCTAATAATCGCCTTATGGGTAGGAGGCTTAACTATGACCAACTATCATTCTTGGTCAGCATACAAAAAGTATGTTTTGCTTCACAAGCAGAAATAAAGGAACTTGCAAAAAATTAAAATAATTTAAAAGTTTTCTTACATTAAGGATCTCAGATCTTTTGTTCCACTCTATAATACATAAAGGGAAAAATAATTACAAATTAAAATATGCATATTGTTTATGCATATTTATTGAACAGCAGGCCAGAAATGTAATTTGATATAAGCTACTCATATTTCTTATTACATCAAAGCAGAATCTTATGCAAACAATAGGGCCAGTTAAATGGCCTGGGAGCAACTACCACTTTGTGGGGGAGATATCATACAGGCAAATCCAGGATTTTCTGCTTTTTTCCTGGGATGTGGGTTAGGGTTATTCCTTATTTATCTCTGCTAAGGCTATCTTAACTGTTTTAATGTTTGCCCTCTGAAAAATGATGGTGATTTTTAGCATTTGCACCACCAAAAGTTGGTAGCATGATTAGTGGGTCTCTGAGGGCTGCAAGAAGTCCGCTGCCTAAGCTTACTCTATATGAGCCAGTTTAGTCTAATGCTTAAGGCACTGGACTAGGAGCAAGAAAATCCAAATTCTACTCCTGCCTTAGGCATGAAAGCCAGTTGGGTGACCTTGGGCCAATCACTCTCTCTCAGCCCTAGGATCAAGGCAATGGCAAACCACTTCTGGAAACTACTGCCTACAAATCTGCATGGTCTTGTCCATGTAGTTGCTAGGAATCAATCTGACTTTTACAAGAAGAAAAATCCTACTCAAAGAATTGCAGTTAATTATTATTATAAATATGAGATAATGCATAAGTATACAATACTGTACACATTTCAGATTTGCTGATACAGAGATTGCTGAATAATTAAATCAATAATAAGAAATCACCTGGATGAGATCGTATATGGAACAGTCTTTCCACCCAAATAGCTGGTTTCCATCAAGCAGTCCCATGTAAGTAGCACCTATCCAAATTGTTTTTTAAACATATTTTAAAAAGTTGATTATAATTTTCCTCTATAGAAAATTAACTTTTGGCATAGTATTGCAGATACTATTGCAGCTGAAATCTAAAATGGGTAGGTTATCTAATTTTTCATATTGTCTGATCAGCTTTCTTAACACTTTTTTTTTCTGAAATGATCTCTTATAATAAAGATCCCAAGTAAAATACATAAGAATTGGTGCAGATATGACTCAACTGGCTACAATAAAAGAACTAGAAGCTCTCTAAGGGCACATGCTTCTTTCCTGAAGCCTTGCCTTCAGCGAATAAAATGTCCCTATCCTGTCTGAATTGCAGTTGCATTCGCCATCAACATTAGGATAACACAGTTAAGGTAATTTCAGTTGTATAGACCACCAGAAGGCAGTACATGATCAGTTTCAGCCTTATTGAGATTTGTCAGATGTACAAAGCCAGATTTTTTACGGGATCTGAACCTGCTACCTGGAATTGAACTCATGCACTATTGTACTTTCAGTGACTATATACAGTGTATTAGCTTAGGAGCTATGCAGGTTCTGGTGCTGAGATATGTTGCAGAAAGAGATATATAGAATCTATACAGTGTACAATCCACTTTCCCTTAAGCACTTAAAGAGAGAGATATGCAGATGTTACATTATGTCATACCTTGTGTACAAGGTTTTATATGACTTCCACCCCACCTCCTTTGAAGGGGAGAATATTTATCTATTATCACAAGCTATAAATGTATCATCTAGATGACGATGATCATGATGATGATTTTTATCTCTCTCCCTCTGACCCCTTAAGAGAAGATGGACTTTATTTACCATTCTGATAGACAATTAAGGGGTCTGCAATCCACTTTGAAGTGCTGTTTCAGATCCTGGTGAAATTGAAATTCTGCTTCATTTTAATTGTTATTATCACCAATATTTCCAGCTGCTACTTGTGCAATCCATATTAGAACAAGCTTATTTTATTAAACTAAGATCACAAATTAAATCCTGAAGTAATCTCCTAAAATTGTTTGGAAGAATAGGACCTCTTCACTACTGTACAAACCATATAATAGGTACACATTTAGTCAGATGGCAAAATTCCTGAGTTCTGAACACAATTGACAATTTCTATCCTCAAAAGTCTTATAAGGCTGCAGTCCTAAACATACTAGGAAATAAGCCTAAGTGGACACAATATGTTACATGACACACTTAACCATGAATAGCTAACCCAACATTTACTCAGTTAATCCAATTGCCTGGGTTTGCACAATATGCTGAACTATAAACTATAAGCTGGTTAAGGCAGCTTGGGAGGTGACGTGGGTGGATCCAGGCGATGTTGACTTTATTCTTGAGAGAGGGAGTGTTTCCAGTGGCCTTTAAAGAGGCGCTGGTGCAGCCCCTCCTCAAGAAACCATCACTGGATCCCACTGTACTGGACAATTTTCGTCCAGTCTGAGAATTGAGAAGGTGGCATTGAAGCTTCAGAGGATCCTGGATGAAACATTATCTGGACCCTTTCCAGTTGGGTTTCAGGCTCGGATTTGGGACTGAAACAGCATTGGTCGCACTCTTGGATGATCGCTGGTGGGAGCGGGATGGGGGTAGTGCATCCATCCTTGCTCTTCTTGAACTCTCAGCAGATTTCGATACCATTGACCATGGTATCCTTTTGGATTGGCTTGGGGAGTTGGGGGTGGGTGGCAGAGTTTTGTGCTAGTTTACCTCCTTCCTCCAAGGCCAGTCCCAATCGGTGTTGATAGGGAACGAGAGGTCCAGCACACGGCCCCTCCTTTGTGGGGTGCCGCAGGGTTTGGTACTCTCCCCACTCCTTTTTAACATCTACATGAAACCACTGGGTGATGTGAAACCATCCGCCACCATGGGATGAGGTATCATCAATATGTAGATGATACCCAGTTATATATCTCCATCCCAGGTGATTTGAGTGATGCTGTGGCTACCCGTTCGCAATGCCTGGAGCCTGTGGGGGTCTGGATGGGGAACAACAGGCTTCAGTTGAAGTCTGGTAAGACAGAGTGGCTGTGGGTTGGGGGCTCTGTATCTGGAAGTTTACCATCTTTGGTTCTGGATGGGGTTGCAGTACCCCAGACAGACCTGGTGCGTAACCTGGGGGTCCTCCTAGACTCACGACTCCTGCTCAAAGAGCAGGTGGAAGTTGTGGCCAGGAGGGCCTTTGCTCAGCTACGTGTTGTGCACCAGTTACACCCTTTTCTGGATCGGGAGTCCCTTTAGTTAGTCACTCAGGCTCTAGTCATCTCCCGTATAGACTGTTGGAATGCGCTCTACATGGGGCTACCCTTGAAGATTATCCGGAAGCTTCAGCTGGTTCAAAATGCAGCCATGCGGGCAATTTTAGGTGCCCCAAGGATGGCACGTTACACTGTTGCTACGTGAGCTGCATTGGGTCTCAGTCTGCTTCCGGGTCCTATTCAAGGTGTTGGTTATCACCTTTAAAGCCCTACATGGCGTGGGACCGGGTTACCTGAGGGATCATCTCACCCCCATTATATCTACCCATCCCACCTGGTCAGGCAGGGAGGGTATGCTGCGGATCCCGTCAATGAAAGAATGTTGACTGGCGGGGTCCAGAAAGAGAGCCTTCTCTGCTGTGGCCCCCG